CGTGAATATTCCGTATCAGAGCAACCAAAGCATCTCAACTGAAAAAACAACGCTGCGCTGCTGAAGCGCTCTCAAGAGCCCACAGCTAGGCGTTTTCAGCAGGCTAAAAACGTTTTGGTGGACACTCGGCCTTAGAGATTATAAAGGGAGCCTTTCTCCTGCTTTCTGTTTATTACACATTCACAATCTGAATACAAGTTTAGTATTTCATGCTGATAAGTACACTGCAAAGTTTCTGGATTGACAACCATGTTTAAATGCTCGTTTGAATCGGAAACTGCGATGATTGGCAGTGATAACCAACGGACGAGACAAACAATTTGAACGTATACAATTCAACAGTTTTTGCTCTGGTACCGAAATGGTAGCCTGGCTGCGCCCTCCTACGCACTTCCGCTCAATTTCATTTTCCTTCAGTAATACGTCTGGGATTCTGCTGTAGACTTTGGTTTTCTCCGATCAATTTTTTGTAGGGCCAATCAGCGAACAGAGGGAGTGCCTGAGAACGATGACGTCGTGCGTTATTTTGAGTTGTAGTTCAGTAATGGCAGCGGAGAAAGATGCGAGGGAAGCCATTCGGTCCGTTGTAGCAACACTGGCGAATATTAAGAAGTTAAAGCCGGAGCAAGAACAATCTTTGCTTAGTTTTGTTTTGGCGATGATGTTGTGGCCCTCCTCCCCACGGGGTTCGACATAGGCTACATCACGAGCAAACGTTAGCGATTGGTGGCAGATCCAGAGTGACTCTGGGCAGATCCAATAGTTTTAGACTTCAATAGAGTACCCGCCTACAAGGAAGTTAACGATTGTCAATGGAGCGGTGCCAGACTCTCTGTACAAATGAAATGTACGAGAGTCTGGTAGAACCAGGCTACCGAAATGGTACAGAGAACCGCAAAATTTTATAGTGACAGCCCTACTGCATAATACATAAATATAAAAACGAAACAAAAATAACATATTTTGTGAAGAGAGGTCTAAAAAAACACAGTGAAGCATTAAGAGGACCATTTACAAGACAAATAGCTATTTTGACTGTACATAGACCACATTGAATAACCCTGTTATAGGTGCAATAACAAATCATGATTATGTGCCTATAGTTCTGACAATGTATAGTACCACCACCTGGCTTCTCAATTTCATTCAAATGTCTAAATTTGTCATCCAAAAGGTGCTCTCTGATGGTCAGGCACAATTCTGGCTTTTTTACATTAGTATTCTATGTTACCAACTGGTTTAACCCAAGTTCCCCATAAAAGCGAACAACAGGGAAGGCCAAACTTGATTTAAGGAGCTTTGATTAGACAATGTCACCAGGCTGATGCACTCCTGGCTTGTCTGTAGGCCATCTGTTGTCTCTATAATGAAGGCCTACAGCCAAGAAGTTCAAAGGGTCCTCAGAAGCCTACCTTCTACAGCCACACCTGGGTGTGCTCAGCATTAGAGACATGCAAGCATTACAATATCAATTATGAAGTCATCATAAAGATTGAATGATTGCTAATGCATTTTTATGGCACAAAGAAATGCACATATTAAAAAGAAAATCTGTGTAATCTCTTTAAGAGATAAGCTACCCATTAACTCGGGCTAAAATTAACAGTTCGTTCTGGTCCTATAATGCGATAGACAAAGAAATGTTTCACATCAAAGTATCAGGGTTTCTTGGTGCGTTGAAGTCCTCCTGGGAAGTTCGTATTTACAAATTGGGAAGTTGCGACGTCGGGTGCGTTCAAATTAACTTTGGCTTAAGCAAGATGATGATGTACTTTTTAAAACAACAACTGGGGAAAACCAATTCTCTCACATTTCTATGGCCAATGGCACCATAATCGAAGACAATTTATTATGCAATATCTTTACCACAGAAAACTGTTTTAAAGAAAGAACGCATCAACAATAAAGTGTACATTGAGTTTGCTTTTAATATCAATGTCTTGGTACACCAAGCATTTCTTTATATAGGTTTTCTAAGGGGGAGAAAACGTTTAATGTAAAAAAAAATAGAGTGGGTCAGGTATGACGCATTTTATGTAGGCAAAAACTCGGAAACGAGTTAGCATTTTAGCACTTCCGGTTCCATCGTCCCAGAGTCAGTGGTTTTTTTTAAAATGGGATTTTGGTTAAATTACTTAAGATCTGTGGTTAACACAAGCACAAGACACTTTAATGTTTTATATTACTAAATAAAATACATTACACCATTCATGATTTTTTTAAGCGGTTACGTGTTACGCCTTGAAAAAGGTGAACGGAGGCTGCCGGGGACATTAAACGTTATCACGATGAACAGATAAAGTTCGCTTTTACAGCCTCTTTATGCTTATAATTGTGCTCTTACAAACTATTCAAACTCAAACTTTCAGGGAAAATGTTTTTAGATAAAAACTTAAATAGTTGCCGGAAGCTTATTGATGGTGACGTTGAAGTCGTGGGACCGTAGTGCAGTTCGTTTATAGCCATACCTTTAGCTTTTACTTCTGACAACTGCATTTAGGCTTCAATATTTCAAAAAAGTTGTCTTCATCTGTGAAAATTATCTTGATGGACAAAACTTAAGTAATAAGTTTCATAAACTTTTGTTGATCACAGAGCTTATTTTTTTGCGATAATCCAAACGCCAATGGAAAAATCCTATTGGGTTTTTGTCAAGGGAACCAGTGTGATGCTAACTGCCGATTGGCCAACAAAGTGACGTTATACCTGCACCACTCTTGTCTTTCTGCCTGGATTACAGTGCCATTGTCTTAGTAGTAAATGAGTAGTAAAATGTGACAGAAATTTGTTTTTCCCTGGTCAGTGTTTTAGCACATTAAGCGTTTTTCACATTATATTTTTTAGGGTTTCCCCTTAAAAACTATATTTTTGACACCAGTTATCTCAATAATGTGCTTGAAAGTGCAAAATGGAAACTACTCATACTCCAGACAGGTGTTGTGCCGAATTTCGATTACCAGCCAAATTGTCACCCCATCTCGTTGAAGCCTAACCCCACCCCCACACCTAAACTTTATTAGCATGACTGTAAATGTTACAATATTGCCAAAGCTTGGAATTTGAATTCTTAATTTGTTCTACTTCAGTCATGGCTGTAAAGGTCTTTAAGTTGATGGGTAATTCCAGCGTTATGGATGTGACATTTGAACTCATAATGACAGGTGAAATGTCTCAGAAAAAAAACCTCTTACAATATTTAAATTGGAAATGCATATTCTCAGAGCACCCAATCTGGGGAATTGACAGGCAAAATATGTTTTTCTAAAATATATTTAAGCACCCCCAAAAAAGGAAAATATGCATGCGTTATGGATGTGACGGGAAATGTAGTTTTTGGTATACTGTTCGATTTCCTTTAAAGTCTGTGAACTTTTAAATCCAATGTATAAATATTGCTATCCACATGATGAAGGGGTCTTAGCTGAACATAAAAATATCAATGTTTAAAATATATATATTTTTATGAAGTGTATTATGAGGAAAAACCAACGTTATGGATGTGACAAAAACCCTGTTATGGATGTGATGCGTCTGAAATACATAGAATCTGTTTGGAAAATCAACAATCAAACCATCATGGCACTTTTGTTGACGCATAATGGCTGTATTTTCACATTAAGAAGACTGTCTGAAATGATTCTGTTCAGTTATGAGACGCGCTCAAGTTTACGTGTTGCAAGTGATCGCACATCCATGCTATATTTGCTTATTTATTAAATCCAGGCATTTGGTTGATGAAACTTTGATTTAAAATTAAGTTACAATTTATACAAAACGAAATTCACTTTAAATAAAGTCTTTCTACAAAACAAAACTTGAAATGAAGTGGCCAAAATCATTTCTGTCTTGAAACAGATCACAATAGTCTGAATTTAATATGAAGCGTCCGTAACGCATTATTATGGTTGTTCAGAGCAAAGTAGTGAGATGAATTGTTTATCCTAATAAGAATAAACATATGAACAAAGCTAAACATATTAGCTTTGTAAATGAAGTTTCAAGTTATTTGCATTTATAATTGTCATATTAAATAAACTAAACCTTTAAAACGTTATGGACGTGACAGTGCACTGAAGCGTCAAGACCTCTTTATTATAGCCCTTATAAATTCAACAGGCAGTGCTGTTATGACCAAATTAGTATATTTATTTCTCAGGCATGCCTCCATCTTTCTGCAAAATGCTTACTGTTAAAATAAAGTTTAAAAAGGGGGGTCTTTGATACCTTTTTTTGAAGGCATGAAATATGGCTGGTTGAAAATGTAATTTAAGCATTGTTGCTCACCTCATATCTGGTGGATAAACAAGGCAATTTTCTTAAAATTTTTGTTAAAGCACATTAATACAGTATATTACAGACCTAAATGGATAACTTAAAAAGGGTTTTGTTCTTTTGGTTAAAACTTTATTTTTTCATGGTAAAGATGACCTTTGCATGGAATTGCCCTTATGTAGACGTCTCTTATTTGATTGATTTGAATTTGTGACAGTGAAGGAGGAAGTGCGTCTCTGTCTCAATCTCTCCTGTCCTACAGTGAGCACATACTCTTTTCTCTTTTGTTAACCAGCTCTTTCTGTGTCTGCAGGTCTCAGTGGCTAGGAACGAAATATAGGAACTAACTAGCCAATTTATGTCTCAAACAAATTACTTAATTCACAGGTAAACAAAGAATTGTGTTGAATATCAGCAACACTTACTGTTATGTGCCTTTTCAACACACAACATTTCATATTACACGTAACAGCATTTCATCTGCACCAGTCACAGTATCAAACACAGTGTAAAAATAGTTGCTGCCTTAAGTACAATCAATTTGGATGTTTAAGTCATTAAACTGACTAAAAAATGAGTCTTGTATAACTTATAAATAAAAGTTGAAAATTGCTTACATTTTGATGAGTTAAAGCAATGTAAAAACATATGTTGTCACAATATTTAAAAACTTATTGATCATATTTTTTTTTTTACAGTGCAGTAGCAGGGTTAATGCATTGACTTACCTGCTGGTATGACGAGTCCTCTGGGCGAAAATCACTGCTGGTTTGTTCAAATTGTAGATTAAAGTGAGGCAGTCTGTGGATCAGGTTAACCCACCACGGAGGAGAGTAATTCACAACAGCAGCCATAATCTTTATGGCGACAACACTCCGAGCCAAGAGAAACTAAAACTAGTTTAAAACTTCTGTCGGGGTTTAAACAATGTCATTAGATTACAAAGTGACACATAAATCTGCTCTTCTCTGGAAAATGCTCATCTATCGTCCTTCACCCATTTGATATGGAGCTAAATGCGATTAGTTGTTTAAACCGCCTGCAGTGCCCTGGAGAGAAACCGAAAGCTGGTTGTTAAGTAAAACGAGGGGTTTAAACAACACGCAACGGCAAAGAGCTAATTATTTAGAGAATCTTCTCTGCTTAGAAGCGTTCAGCAGTAAGATATTCCTTTCCCTACCGGCTGACTGTGTAAACACAAGGGAAGCGTGTATTACAAGATCTTACTTCCCCTTTCAAAACTGCCTATTGTTTGGATACATTAAAACTAGACGCATGCACACCAACCCTGAGATATGCATTAATTTAGAGCTGAAACCTTCCTAGATCCAAAACTCAGTCCTCAGGTTGCTCGCAATGCCAGCCAGTTACGAGATGTATCTCCCTTGCTTTGGCCGAGATTAATGCCAAGCGTTTGTCTGCGGCTCCGTCATTCCCACGATGAAACTCCTTCGTCCTTTTGTCCTTATTAGTCATAAATTACCGGGGAAGGTGTTTGTGAAGTCAAAAATGTCCGTGTGTGGGTTAGCAGACGCCACGCGACTCCTCCCAGCCGACAAAACTCGGTGAGATGATCTCTAATCCAGTGTGAGTGTGTGAAGAGCAACCAAGCAACGAGCCGTAAGCCCAGATTGCCCACCGACACAAACTCACGCCGAGATAGTGGAGGTTTATCACGGTATGGGGCAACTGTTGAGAACAGGGACATCTAGTGGTCAGACACAATAATACACACGAGGCTTACTTGGAGAATCTTTTAGGATCGCACCTCTCATGCTGTATTAAACTAGGAATATTCCCTTTTTATGAATATTTAAAACAAATAAATTAAATAAAATTCCTTAGGAAGAGGAGGATGGTGATTCTTTTGGAAAAAAAATATCAAATGTATTTTTTTATATAAAATGGGAAATGTGTAAAATAAAAATTTAAAATAAAAATGAAATCAAACTAAATGTTTTGCGTAGTAGCCAATCCTTATAGAGGTTACAAATCAATGTTAAAACATTGCATTTACAGCCTCAGCAAACAATGATACACTGATGTGCTCACATTGAAGAAAAAATAACCTTTGCACATATAGCATTTTTATTTATTTGTTTAGCCTATTTCATCTGATCTGTATGTCTCCAATCCTGGAAAGACTTCTTGTACTGTATGTTGCACTGTAGAATGTTTTAACCCACTTAAAAATATGAAATCTATAGTTAATTGCTGTCTTATATTTTAGACAGCTGACCCAAAATGAAAATGTTGTCATTATTTACTCATACATCATTTACTGTTTTTTCTTCTGTTGAGTGTTGAACACAAAAGAAGATATTTTGAAGATAGTTTTATATCTTCTTTTGTGTTCAAAAGATGAAAGAAACAGTAAATGATGTATGAGTAAATAATGACAACATTTTCATTTTTGGGTGAACTGTCCCTTTAATGCACATCCTCACAGGAATAAACCATAAAAATGACCTTTGACCAAAAGCTTAAGGAATTAAAACCTAAGCACAATTTGGTTTGTTGGTGAATTATTTATTCATGGCAGTATAAATGAATATCTGGATTCTGTCAATGCCTGCAAGACAGACAACCAAAACATTTTCTCAAAATAAGCCTAAATGAAACCTAAAATTGGTTCCTGCTGTTATACTGAATAGAATATGCAATTTATCCAAGAATAAATAATACATCTCTGAACATAAAGATATATGCCAGGATGGAAAACCCCCAAAATGAAATTGATGTTAAATTTAACTGGGATCAAAATGATATTTGCATAAGCTAAGCTCTGCAAGTCATTTTGAGCTTTTAAGCTTCACAGAGCAAGTATACTTACATGATGATTAGTCAACAATATGCTATACTGGAAATGTTAATACAGATAAAACATGGCTATTTATGTCTCAAGGAATGATTCATCAAGAGTTAGACTCCAAATCAATTTTTGCTAACTTTTGATGTGACCTCAGCTTTCCTCAATTTTTTTGGTCATGTATTGAAATACAAATCTAAATCTATTCACTAAAAATACAATATTTTGGTTGCATTTGAATTAGTCTTAAAACCGTTCTCAGCCAGAGGGAAAACATGTACTTAATTTGATTTCAGCTCAATCATTTATGGCAAATCAACTCATGACTATTTCAGTTCCTTAAAGTTATGTTGAATTTAGTTTAGGATGTGTTGTTTTGTCTTCAACAGAAAAATATTTTCACTGAAAGAGGAACAATGAACTGGGAAAGAGATTTCCAGGTTTCATGCTCCTTGTTCGTGCATTTTTCTTTTTCAGAAATCTCTGTATTAGTGGGCAAAAAATGATAATAAGTTGCAGCAGCAGGTGGGCAACACTTTAAAAAAAAAAAACTTTGTTATTATAATGGTAAATACAATGTTACAGTTGTTGTGAGTTTAATATGGATGTTTTGTTTAAAAATATTGTAGTTTTTTTTTTTTGCTTTCTCACTTCCCATTGGTGAATTACATATTCTAACCACACAGAACCAGTCTGTAGTGTCATATAAAGATGTGTTTGTCCTCAAAGAGCCCGTGTCGAACCTGATGAGGCTCCAGCTCCACCCACCCATGTCTGTCACACAGCCTATAGTGTACCATGTGTTTCCACATCACTACAACTTTAAGGAGAAGGACTAGGACATTCCTACTCTTTTCTGCAGGAAATCACATGTAGGTGCTATCGCTCTCACATGACATCCTAAACTATGGCAGGGGACATCAATGAAGGTAGGGAAGATAAATTACGGTAATTTAAGCTAAATATCGCACAGTTTTAGATAATGTTTTGCTGTCTGTTTTATGTAGCCTATGTATTTTATTAATTTCCTTAATTTCGCTGATGATGTTTTAAAAATTCGCGACTAAAAACGTGAGGCACTTTAACGCGAGTTAGCTATGCGTTTTACTTTGTTGTCTTGTTGCGTAAATGCTTATTTTTATTTGTTTTTTCATCAGTTTCTTATGTTTACTGACTCGTTCATCGAAGTTGTCCAGATTGACGACTAAAAGTTTAAACTGTTATGTCTTTATAATACTATAGCTAGGCCTATAGCCTATTTAATTTTTTTGTATGACAACATTGTATCGATTTGTTCACGAGTTGGCACAGCAGAATGTTTGATTGCAATGATTATGCATGCAGTGAATATCCATTCCTATAGGCTGAATGTTGCCATAGAGACTGTCAGTGCTGCCACGAGAATCTGATTTTAAGCCAATCAAATAATTTTCTCTGCGAAGGCCAATTTAAATTTCGAACGGGAACTCAATTTACCCCTTGACATTTATTTTATTAAATGTTAAAAAAGCCCCCTAAAACGGTGTCTGTTAAATAAAATTAATATGTTTGTTTGTGATACCCTTAAATTTTCGTTGTTTATTTTTTTTATTTAGTTTCTTTTGTCTATTTTACACTACTTGTGCAAATGCCTTGAGAACTGAACTCAATACAAAAATCTATAAAAATACAAATGTATTGCGCAACTACAATGTCCTGTCAGTGTTTTAGCAATACGTTTGTTTGGATAGAAAAAAAAAAAAACTGTGTTCTCTTGTTGAAATGAAATTGACCCCAGTCGTTTATTCCTAGACATAATTCGTCTGTCAATAGGCTTTATGCACAGCTTCACTACTTCCTGAACTTCAGCCAGCCCTTTGTTTCCTGTCTGCCATTATTGGACAAACTGATTAATCCAGGTGTGCCTGATTATTGTTACTGAGGCCAGGCACACCTGGATTAATTAGTTTGTCCAATAATGGCAGACAGGAAACATAGGGCTGGCTGAAGTTCAGGAAGTAGTGAAGCTGTGCATAAAGCCAATTTGTTATTTCAACACAGAGCTCTTAAAGGGATAGTTCACCCAAAATTTAAATCTATGTCATCAATTTAATGTTTAATGTCATCAATAACTCACTCACGTGAGGAGGATATCGTCTGTGTATATAATTGTTCTATGTCTTTGGTTGTATCTTGTTGTTATGAGCACACTGAAGCAAATCCCTAACAACTTGTACTGAGTTGTATGGCAATAAAGTATTGAATCTTGAATCTTGACGTGTCATTCTAAACCCAGACTGTCATTAATCTTCGATATTTGGATAATTTTAATGAAATCTGAGAGATTTCTGTCCCTCCATTCACCCAAAACTCTGACAGTTTAAGCATGCTTGAGCTGTCTTCTACCATATTTGTTTGCTGATCAATGTTTACATGTGAATAAAGCCTTAATTAAATCTGTTCATCATATAAAGCGATCATGTCTCTAAACCGCTCCATTAATATGGATTTCTTTTACTCTTTATGAAAGTTTTGAACCCTGTGAGTTTTGAGTGAGACTTTCAATGGAGGGACAGAAATCTTCATTTATAAGATAGATACAAATATCTTTATTTGTGTTCCAAAGATTAAAGAAAGTCTCATGGTGCTGCTGAGTAATTGATTACAGCATTTTAATTTTTGGATGAACTACTATTCCTTTAACATACAGTCCTTTGAATCTAGGATCCGTCCCTGCATACTATCGTGAAGTGCATCAAGCCATCTGCTCCAGAACTGATGAACGAGTGCCTATCAGTGTATTCCTGAGAGTTCTCAGCAGAACATCTCTTTCCATCACCGTTCAAAACCAGGTGAGACTTGCACCAGGATTACGTCTTATTATTGGTTAGGAAGACTGTAGCTGACAGTTAGCTAAATTACATCCCACAGACTTATTTACAGCTGGATAAGGATAAATATCATGATTTTGTTGGGTTCTCTTGTGGAACCATGACTTATTCTGCACAGACTGAAAATATGTCATTTACATTTTAGATAACCGAACATGTAAACAATAGTGATGGATTCCTAAGTAAAGTCTCACTGTATAAAGGCTTGGCTCTCATTGCCCTTGCTCAACAAGGAAAACCACCAAGTCCCAAACTGCTGGAGAGTGTCATACAAGGTAAGCAAAAGCAGATCAATTCCTCAGCTGACTGTAGTAAATGTGTAGCTTAATCAGATGTCATTTTAAAGTCAGTAACCCCAGTTAGTCTCCATAAAAACTGTCTTGTGTTCTACATATCATGTGATATTGTATTGCCTCTCACATGCTGTCCCAACTGAATTACATCCAAGCTGTATTTCACTGTCACCATCTGTTTGCAGTGATTTGCGCAAGAGCAAAGCTTAATATGTGGAGGTTTTATATCACTGCTTTCAACATTTCAGCACTTTTCACTGTTCTCATGTGCACCTATACAGCATGTGTGTATGATTTTTCATCAGCTCTGAAGGGTTAAAGTTTCTATTCAATACAGGCCTCTCGTGTTATTTCAGGTGTTGCCAGTATGACAGTTGACTGTGCACTTTAATAGTGAGGTTTCCTGTTCTCTCCTCTAAGCAAAAGCAAGTTTCCCGTCCATTGCATACCAACTGCTTATCTCTCTATGGGAAGGCCAAGAAGAATTTTTTTGTTGTTGTTGCATTTTACCAAACAAAAGATCCTGGTTTGAATCTGCTGAGACAACTTTTTGCAATGCAGAGTCACGTTGTTTTTTCCCCTTTTCCAGATTTTCTTTTCTAAATGTGGCACACAAACCACAGAAATCCACCGGAAAAAAGTATGGTGTGCCACATAGCTCAACATTGTTTTTCTCTCATTCCTTCTCGTTACTTTTGAGATTTCCTTCATGCTGTGTTATTAATGTGCCGTCATGAGACTGTCGGACGAGAAGAAAGTCATCTTCTTTGTCTTCTTTAAGTATGATACTGTAATCACCCACCTGTAATGTTTAGTCAGTCACATCTGGCTGTCACACCACGCTAAATACATTGTGTTGTATGTCATGTTTTTAAAGAGTTCCCAAAGCCTCAGCTAGGAGAGCCGAAGGAGCTTCAGAGTTTAAAGATGCAGTCGGTTCAGGAGAGTCCTCTGATCTTGTCCGTGACTCTGGCAGAGCTGTTGAAGAAGGACACCGTCAAAGTTGACCTCATTCCTGAGAAGAAGGGACTGTTTCTTAAACATGTGGAGTATCAGGTCACCAGTGAGGTGAGTGAGTTTAGAGGCGGCATTACAAGTTTACAGTTTTCTGTCATTAATCAGACAAAATCGATTGGTCCAATTCTACACCCTAAAAATGACTCAACTAATGGTTTCGGCCCTAAACCATTCGTTGAGTTATTGTTGCAGTGTCATACTAGCCATGATGCACAAACAATGAGCCTAACATTTTCTTCTCTCCATATTAAGCTTCAGCATTAGCATTCGTGTTGGGTGATGCCATCACATGTTGACACCCTAAAATAAATGTGTAAACAGAGACCACTGAGTCTTTGTGATCACAATCTTAAAAATAAAGGTTTCAAAAGGGGTTTTTTTGCTGAAGAAATATTTTTTAGTTCCCCAAAGAACCTTTCAGTGAACAGTTCTTAAAGGGATAGTTCACCCAAAAACGAAAATCCTGTAATTAATTACACGCCCTCATTTCGTTCCAAACCCGTAAGACTTTTGTTCATCTTCGGAACACAAATGAAGATCTTTTTAATAAAACCGGAGAGCTTTCTGTCCTCCATTGACAGCTACGCAACTACCACCTCTACCACCTTTTTTGCCTCAAAAAGTTCATAAAAAGATCGTAAAACGAATCCATATGAATTGAGCGTTTTATTCCAAATTTTAATGACAGAATTTTCATTTTTGGGTGAACTATCCCTTTAAAAGAACCATGTATTAATAATCTAAAGAACTTTTTTCTACTATAAAGAACCGTTTGTGGAATGGAAATGTTCCATGGATGTTCTGAATGGAACCATCAATGCCAATAAAGAACCTTTATTTTCAAGAGTGCAGTATCTTAAAGGGTTCATATAATGAAGGATCAATTTCCTTGATCATTTGAGATAAAATACCTTGATGAGCAAATCAACATATCCTCTCCAGTCTAAAAAGGAACGTGGGGGACCAGTGGTGCATTTCAGCGTAGACTGATTTGTGATCCTGTCACAGTAATCCTGACTTTGCAAAGAGGCTGTCATTGAAAAATGAGGAAGTTAAATTCTATATTTGACACAAAAAGAAAAGCCATTTCAGAGAAAAATGATTTCTGGTGCAAAATATAGTATTGTAAAAGGACCTCAGCAGGAAAAAAACAATTTTACAATATTTATTTATTTTTCAATATAATAAAAGTATGACATTCAGTCAAGCCAACAGACAAGAGTCATTGCAACAGTTACAGTTGTATTATTTAAATGTATCGCTGATAGTTCATGTGCCATGTGCCCAGCGTTTTACAGTATCGGTCTATCGGCGATACAGCGATTTTGACGTCTTCCACGAGCTCCTGCTTCAGAGATATGCTTACAGAGCCGTGCCGGCGCTTCCTCCCAAAAGGGCGCTGAAAGGAGGTAGGCCGTTGTTTTATTCACTGTAAAATACCAGCCTGTGAAGGGTTTGTGATCAAACCTTTATATTATAGTCTTGTTCACCTCTCACTTAGGCTGTGCTGTGACATTCAATGCTTTCTGGGAATGCACCAGACACACAATCGGGGCTCTCCCAAGGTTAAAAAAAGTAAACTTGTTCTGATTTTCTGCAGACTTCAGCAAGTTGTACTTCCATAGTAACTGAGTACCAGAAAGCTCCTTGCTGTGTTGTATTAATGGAAGGACTATGTTTTGTTGTTTCTGGAAAAGTTTAATCTTTTCCCTGTTCTTTGGCCCCGCTGCAGTCCTGACCTCCATGTCAGAGCGAGAGTTCATTGAAGGGCGGAGACGAGCCCTGGGAAGGTTCCTAAATCTTGTGGCACGACACCCTGTCTTTTCCGAAGATGAGCTTGTGAAAACATTCCTCACCTTCAGTGGCTCGGTATGGACTTTTTGCCAAACCTGAACACCAACTTGATTCAAAGCTCTGGATAAACAGGATTGAATTTTATGATATATTATAGTGCAAGAAAAATAAATTAGACATGGCAATTTTGGGTTGAGAAAATATATGTATATTTTTTTTATGTTTTTCATAGATGTTCATCAGGTTGTGAATCCCCATATTTATGTCCCACAGGATGTCCAACCTAAGCTTAGAGATGCTTGCAAAAAATTGGGGGATGAGTTCATGACCTGTAAATATGCAACGCTGGCCAAGGTTTGATTCAGCTTTATTTTACTCGTATGCTAAATATTTGTGCAATATTTATTAATCAATATTACCTGTATTGTGATCTCTCCTCCAGGATTACCTCCCAGCAGATATCCAAAGTCAGTTTTCGTCCAGCAGGGAGCTCATCAGAAATATCCATAACAGTTTTCAGAAGTTACGAGACCGGGCAGAGAGGATGGCCGAGCGCTCAAAGGAGAACGCCACAGATCTGCTGATGTTTGGGAAGGAGCTCAGGTACCAACTCATCCTGAGTGTTGTGCCTAACTCTTTGTAGTGTCTCTTAGACCAATGGTTCGCAAAAACAGCACCAAAACATTATAAAGTATGAGCTGCAGATCATTTCATTAGTTTAATCTTACATTTTAATTTACTGTGAAGGGCTTTGCTAAAATTGTCTAGGTGTATCATATGCAGCATGGAACAGATGAGGTGAGGATTATACGCAAACAGTATTTATTCAACAAACACAAAAAAAGGAAAAACTAAATTCAAATGGGAAAACAGGAGACGCAATAGCTCTACAACAGAGATGTAAAGACAATGACTGACAACAAAAGACTCAACACAGGACTTATATAATACAAACAAGAGGATAACAAGGCACAGGTGAAAGTGATTAAAGGTGACCTATAATTCAAAATTGAATTTACCTTGGTATAGTCAAATAACAAGAGTTCAGTGCATGGACATGACATAGAGTGAATCTCAAACTGGACTGTTTTCGCGTTCTCATTTAATTCACGTTTATGAAAAACACCCCTGAAAAACGGTCGGTTCTCCACACAATACCGACTGTGACGCAATAGTCGGGATCATTAATATGTACGCCTCCAAATATTTGCATAATGCTAGCCCTCAATGCCAGGCGGAACTGCGCAGCCGAAGCATGGCAGTTGCTCAGTGTGGATGTATACATGAACACAAAAGTATTTTTTAGTTCCTTTATCTGAGCCTCTGAAGAAACAATGGGTTAATTTTATTTTCTCTGGAAATTTCCAAACATTTCACCGACTGTTTCCTCAACTTGGGCCAATACAGAGCTGGCCTCGGATCGAGCTACCAAGCAACACTTTCTGATGTGTAATTGTTCAAGTTCAGACAGGTAATCTTTCTCTCAAAATCGTTCAATACTGTTTATGCATCAGTAAGTCAAGCCAGTGACTAAAATATCAGCTTCACATCGTTTCTTTTAGTAGGATTAAAATAATCGTATTTAAATTGTGAACAAATTATATACAGAAAGCGATCAAAGAACAATCTTTCCACACAGCGCGAGTTTATCTGGACACTTGCCAAACTCGTTATGAAATCAGTGACGCACGTTACTGCACAACGAAGCTCTTACTGTATTTACATCATCGTGTTTGCATTGGTGAAAGCAGAGAGAGTGCAGAAACTGCTTTGCAATGATAAGATCTTCATTCTCGCGATCAACAGACTGTCATCTGCTCAATGCTCATCACGGCAACATTTTCTGTGATGGGAATAGATCTAAATACTTTAAAAACATCTCACGATTCGTTAATCTCGATAGCTGTTATAGTAAAAACGTATAATAGCAGTAGTAAAAGTATTCGGGAGAGAGTTTCACATGTAATGCGTAGCTATTTCATATGCAAGCATGTCAGCCAATCACAGCAGTGGCCGCGGTTACACTGAATCCCACAGCAGACACGGCCCTTCAAACAGAGTGTTCAAATCAGAGGCTAAAAGCAGGCTAGGAAAAATGCCTTTTATTTCTAAATTATGATTATTTTTTATCTAAAAAACATACTAACATTATAAGGGTAACCCAGGAAACATTATAAAATAATAAAAAAAAACATTCTAGGGCACCTTTAAACGCTATGGTGACTAAAAAGGGTAACTAAGGAAACAAAATGCTGTGTCCGAAATCTCCCCTTACCCTCATTCACTATTCCCTACATTAGTCCATTATTATAGTCCAGTTGAAGGAGTGAATGAAAACGAGTGAGTGAATTAAGACACTGAGCTGCCCCTTTTGCATAGTTTGTGCTTGCCGTTTAATAATCATTTGACACGTAGCAAACTGGAAGCTCCAGTAGTAATGAAAAGATTTATCTTGAACTCTGTCATGGGAACTATGTATAAACCTTACTTAAACAATTTCATAATCAATTAAAAAACAATTTATACCAGTATGATATTATGCTATACCCACATTGGACAAGCGGTTTGGAAAATAGATGTATGGATGATTAACATGCGGGTGCCATCTACTGGTCAGATGCAGGAATTCATTCGTCGTGTGACTCACAGTGCATTATGGGTATTCTCTAGCCGTTGAGCATACATTGGTTGTACACTCGTTATCGCGCGGTGCATTATGGGATTGAATGAGTGCACTCGATAACGTCGACTATGGTTTTGGACTTCACTACAAATGGCTGTCCCTTTATGTAGTACCCTATTTAAGGGTATAAGGGGGTGATTTCGGACACAGCCGAAGGCAGACAGGAACTAAACACTGGAAAAGAAACCAGAAATATCAAGGCAACAGAACATCAAAATAAGGGTCCTATAACACAAAACACAGTGGAAATCATGACAGGGTAAACTTTTTTTAAGGCCATTCTGGATTCCAGAAGAAAAGGATGCAGGAGACACTTATTTCGCTAACCTGGTAGTTACCTCTCCTCAAGTTGTATTATGAATCATTGTCTGACTGACTGCAAGTCGAGGATTCTACGGGGAAAAGTGAAGGAGGATGCGCGGGATATTTTTGATTCAGCAATTTTAATTCAAATTGTGTAAATGAAAACATTCAATGAATAGGAAAGCCTTATCTTCCAGACGTATCTGTAACCTACCTCATCAGACAATGATTTATCAGCAAAACTTTACTTGGGCTTGTACCCGACTAAAAAGGTTGTCCCTACAGATTGACACAAGTCTAAAGCACCCTGCAGTTTTTTCTTTTTTTTTAAATTAAATTGACTATTTGACTGTACATCTCTTACACACAATGGTACATGAAACATTAACTGTTTGAATAGTTAGAAAATACTGGAATATTTATTATTGCAGTGGTTTGAGAGAGCTTGATTGCCAGATGTTTGTGACTATTGGCCGTATAGATTTAAGCTTTTGTCTCTCTCCAATCCAGTTCTTTGGGATCAGATGAGTCACCTGTGCCTGTCCTGGCGTCCTGCAAGAGTCCCTGGGCTGCTCTTAGACACTCTGTCAAAGGGCTCTCTGTTGAGTTCTCACTTCTGTCTGAAAGAGCTGCCCAACAGGTACTGTGCCGCCCACACATACCACGTGAATTGGTGGCACACTGCTACAGAGGAATTTAATTTGTTTACTTTATACAGGGCAGAAGAGAGGAGGATGATGTGGTGGAAAAACTAAATCTGTTTCTGGACTTGCTGCAATCGTACAGGGTGAGTACTGATGCATTTTAATTTTTAGTCTCATCTGAGAAGTTTTTCTTTCTTTTTTTGTCTATTTTTAGGAAATAAACTGAAATAAGTTAAAAAGTAAAAACCGGTAAAAAGTTAGGAATAATTACGATTTCTTTAAATGTTTTTGAAAGAAGCCTCTTATGTTCACAAACTCATTTATTAATTTAATACTGTGAAATATCATAAATATTATTTTACCTATATTGCTTTCAGCATTGTCACATAATCGTTCAGAATCATTATAATATTCTGATTTGCTGCTCAAGAAACATTTCTTATTATTATCAATGTTGTGCTGCTTAATATTTCTGTGGAAACCGTGATATACTACTACTATTCAAAAGTCTGGGGTAACTATTATTTTATTCAGCAAGGATGCATTAGATTTTTCAAAAGTGACAGTAAAGACATTTATAATGTTACACAAATTCTGTTTCAAATAAATGCTGTTCTTTTGGTCTTTCTATTCATCAAAAAATCATGAAAAAAAAAACCATGGTTTCCAGCAAAAACCTTTTCAACCTTGATATAATAAGAACCATTATTAAGAATTGAGCACCAATTATAACTGAGAAGCAAATCAGCATATTATAATGAGAGAGGACAGGAAATAATGGGAATGAGTAACAAAATTGGCATGCGTTGCAAGCTGGATTCAAACCTGTGTCTCCCACTTGAGCACCAAAGCTCAATGTGCATATAAGGTAACCAATAAGCCAAGCCACAGCAGGTTTTTTTTAGTGAGCATTTATGTGTGTTGTCATACAGGACTTGTGTGAAAGGCACGAGAAAGGGGTCTTGCACGAACATCAGCGAGCGTTGCAGAAGTACAGTGTCATGAAGAGACAAATGCTGAGCGCCACCGTGCAGCCTAAAGAACAGGTTTCTGTAGAGCAGCTGGAGTCCCGCATCGTCCAGGTCAGCCCTCACTCACTCAGACATACACACACACACACACACACACACTACACAGAGCTATAGCAGCTTGAGGTAGAATCAGCAGAGGGGAAATGTGGGGACCAGTAGCTTCAGGGGAACTGATGCATCTCTTTAATTTAGTAGGTGAAATTGATCTGAAGGACTTGAAACTAAAGCCCTAGAGCAAAATTTGTGTCCTCAAAATCCCTTTAGGGATGCCGCAGGAATATGAACTGGGATCTCTGCCTTGCCTCTTTAGAGAGATAGCAGGAGGCCTCTTTTTCATCTTGGGTTTATACCAGGGGTTTGTGAAAGATTTGAGTTAATATATATATATATACTGTACATATACATATACATATATTAACTCAAATCTGGATATATATATTAGATAAAGATTTGAGAATATGTATAAAAATTGTTTTTTTTTAGTGATGTCACAGTTAAAATGTTAGCTTAAGATATTCAAAAATGTTTAAAAACAATGGGGGTCAGTAAAATGTTTTATTTATTTATTAATAATTTAATTCAGCAAGGACACATTAAATTGATCAAAAGTGACAGTAAAGACAATAATGTTATAAAAGATTTCTATTTCAAATAAATGCTGTTCTTTTGAGCATTTTATAAAGCATCCTAAAAAGCGTATCAGTTTCCACTGATTTCAACATTGATAATACGTTTTTTTTAGCACAAAGTCATCATATTATGATTTCTGAAGGATCATGTGACACTGAATACTAGGTTGATGACTGCTAAAATACATAAAGAAATATGTTACATTTTAAAATATATTAAAATAGAAAATACTGTAGTTCTTTGATGTAAAATTTAACCAAACTGAAAAAAAACCCCACTATTCTAATGTAATTGCATTGCATCAAGAGCACTCAAAATATTGTACAAGCAACCAAGTAATTCCAAGCAAGTTTATAATCTATATTTTTACTGGCCAAATTTGCATTTAAGCATTTAATTGATCACTTGAGTAGCCATTTTGCACATTTATTTCATTTTACCATTTTGTTAATTATTTTAAGGATTTATCAATTGAATTTTGTTAGAAAAATAACTTTTATAAAGGCCCCTTCTCTTTTTATGATAAAAGCCCGGCCAGCTGGAGGACGAGAGAAAGTATGTCTCATGATGCAATGCCAAGTCATGTTAGGCACATACTGTATCTGTTTAACCTTCAAATAACATGTCATGATCCAGTGGGTTTTAACTGCTGGATGGCTCATTGTGAGCAAGCAGACATTGGTCACTACAGGGAAGATGATGATGATAGTTAGGGTGGGATGATGTGACCACACTGTGACCTCACTCTGATCTCTGACTCATGGCAGCAAGAAAACGCCATTCAGGTCATGGAGCTGCGCAACTACTTCTCCCTGTTCTGCCTGCACCAGGAGAGCCAGCTCATATTCACATACCTGCCCATCACATCTCTCATCCTGGGGGCATTTGTAGACTCACAGGTGCTGGGACATAAAGATGTAAGCTTATTTCTAGTATCAACAGTATGTGTGTTAGAGTTATTCTTTTCAATAAGTGCCAAAGCTGCTTTCTTATTACTTAGATGTTAACAAAACCTTTTTTTGCTCTGATCTAGATGGGTGAGGTGTGGCAAGATCTTCATTCCAAGCTTAAAAGTCTTTTTGGGGACGGTAATGGGCGGTCTCCGCCTCTCAGCCCAAAATAACCTCCCTTCTGTGCCTCTCAAGAAGACAATGAACTCTAGCCTGTTTTGAATTGCAGGATCTCTACAGGAGTTACAGACAGTCAATATTATATAAAAGCACCTTGCAAAGAATTATTGGAAAATGCGTCTGTTCATGCAGCAGATCTTAAAATCTTACTGAGGTGAAGAAGGCCCTCGATTTCCTACAGTTTGAGCAAATGGACGGCTAAAATAAATGGCTATGCTGTTGAGAATCATTTTAGGAAAACACTGTATTACTGTTTTTACATGTAGGCCTAGCCTATGCAAAGATGATGTTGCTGTTTTGAAATGTAAGCTAATCTGAAAGAGAATAATTTTTACAGTGTACAAAAAAAATTCAAGCATAACACATGACAAATTACCTATTCTAGATGCTATATTAGGTGCAATAAGAAATGAGCTGAGAAGCTATAGCCAGAGGTTGCTGTGTTCAGTTGAATATACATATCAAACACAGAAAATATGCAGAGATTATGCTATTAGTTGCAAAGGCACTGTCTTATTATTTGTTTGTGGTTTCAGCTGCCAGTCTGATATCTGTTGTGTATTTTGTAATCTGCACTCCATGTGCTTCCATCTTTGTTTTTTCACATTTCATCACTACCATTCAAAAGAGGTATTTTATTAATTTCATTTATTTCTTAATTTTTCAGCAAGGATGCATTAAATTGATCAAAAGTGACTGTAAAGACAAGAGCAAGACATTTGATTTATGTAATCAAAGAATCCTGAAATAAATGCATCATGCATGACTATACAACACAGTTAACTGTTTTCAACGTTGTTGATAAAAACTTAGAATTGCCATCACAGGAATAAATTACATGTTATAATAAAATAAAATAGAAAAACAACACAGTTATTTTAAATGGTTTTACTGTATTTTTGTTCAAGTAATTATGCTTTGGTGAGCATAAGTGACTTTCAAAAACATATTCAAACTTTACGGTAGTAGGCTATATAAGTGAAATATACTTATAATTAATTGTCAAACGGTTCTGTAAAATGTGAAATGTATTTTCTGTAACTAAGTCTGAGCCTGGATCGAGAGGGTCATTCAAGCAATAACTACCATTAGCATGGAATTATTAGCCGCTAGCTGCTCTATAGCCTACACCGAAGAACTGTTTTCAGTCATTTGATAAATCACGAAGGTCTGAAATTCTCAGACTGCTTGTGCTTTTAAGCCATTAGGCTACGTGAACTTTACTTTGAAATATGTCTGCCAATTTTTCATGTTGTATAGACACATTGCTGTTGGTTAATAACGCATGTATCATGCATATTTTGTCTTAATTGTTTTACATTCTAGTAAACCCCTTTGCAGAGCTTAATTATTATCAATTGTTCATGTTTGATGGTTCGGTTGAGGAAAGCAATAAATGAATGGAAACTGTTTTTTGTACTCGGATGCATATTCAATTCTGCCATCTGCTGGCACAGAGAGTAAATGCAAGATTGAGAATTTTGATCAAAAGTGTCAGTAGCATTCATAATGTATAAAAAAAGATGTCGATTTCAACTTTTTTAATAATAAAAAATTAAATTATTTCCCTTGGCACAAAAAATGAAAGCAGCAAAACTGTTTTCAACATATTTCTGAAACTGGTTCATATTAAGCAGCCAGTTTTTTTCTACATAAGTATGCCTGAATATATATATATATGTATCATATATAATTTGAAATCATTGAAGAATGCACAAAGATGTACGTCAGAATATTTAATGAAGATAAACTTCTGTTTTCTTCTGATTAAACTTGTTTTTTAGATGACAGGTAGTTGGAGATGAAAGAACTTTATGTACACTACTGATGGAAAATCCATTGTAAGAATGTGGAAAAAAGAAACAGGTAAAAACAAAACATCAGAATACAGATCATGATGCATTTGAGGATTCATCCAAAATATAAATGAAACATCAAACTAATGGATAACGTTATTTTCTTATGCATGTCGTGCTCCATAGAGTCATGTACTCAGTAGTGTGAACATCAGATTTTGCTGGATAATTTCCACTGATACAGTGACAATGTCCATCAATGGTATTAAAAACCCCAATCAAACGTCGTCCACCTCCTCCAGTTTATGCTCCACTATCACATCATGACCGTGGAATTTAAAATATCCCAAGAACTTCTTTTTCTGAAGCATCAGTGGGAACCACTGGACATCATCTGCCCACATCTGGCTGAAAGGTATTTTGTCTGTGTCAAACCACTGTGGCCTCATCTCTGAAAGACAAAACAAACCGCTTCAGTGGCACGTTATTAGACCTTCTGTCTCAGTATGTGTCTCACAAACTGGATCATAAAGTGATGTGGAGCTGTATTACCGTCTGATTCGGTTGGCTCTCCTTTATAGGTGTCAGCTCTGAAAATGTGGACATCGAGCAGTTCTGTTTCCCCAATAAACTCAAATTTGATATTTCCAATCTTGAGAAGGGTGTCAACAGTGAGGCCACTTTCCTCTAGCAGCTCCCTGTCAAATTAAATGGCACTTTGTTTCAGCTGGAAACCAATAAAAGCAGGGAAGATTGAACATGACCAATCGCTGACACCATTGTTAAGTTCAACAGAAAAGTAAATAATATCAAACATTCACAGCGTTACAAGGTTCAAACTGTTTAACTTTGACGTGTAGCTTCAAGGAAGTGAAAAAACAGACACTGGAGGGAAAATGATGGCTTTTCTAAAGTATGTTTCACTTTCAGTCTCTTTGTACCAGAAACACGACCATTCTTAATGCTTTTACACCTGAAAAACACTGCTATTACTCGGTGTAGGAACTGTAACGCAATTATATTAATGGGTGACCATTTTTGGTGTCCAGTTCCCGGAAATGTCTAACTTTATAACAAATACATTGCAAAAAATTCTGAACAACACAACATAAAAAAAACATTTTAAAAAGTAATTACTGTATACAGTATATTCACTGTTTGTGAAAATTAAAATATTAAATACAATTAGAAAATTTTAAAAATATTTGTTAAATAGTTTTTGTAAAGTCATAATTTTGTTATAATATTGTTTTGATGCAATGGTTACTATTATTTTTCATAGTGTAATTTTTGGTGAACTGTAGTAAAACTAGGTAGGGTTTGTTAGACCTGCAAACCTCATTATTAATTATAACCAATGTTGGGGAGTAACGCTTAAAAGTAATGCAAGGTATGTAATCAGATTACTTTTTTTTAGTAACTAGTAAAGTAACGCATCACTTTAAAATTTACAATAAAACATCAGTTACAGATACAGTCACAAATAAGTGATGCAAGTTACTATGTTTCCCCATGTATTTGCTGAGAGTTCTCTTGCCCCCATGTTGAGAGAAAGTGTAAGTTACGAGGCGTTGTGTGCGCTGTGTGAACATGATGGTTATTGCAGTTCTAGAACAGGCATTTACTCATCTCACGTGCACAAAAACAGAATCAGTGCTTCTCAATATGAATAAAAACAGTGAAATGCAAACTCAGAATATTATCCAAACCTTCAATAATTAAATGTTAAATAACACATATGTACTTTATCTATTTATTCTCACTTTATTAACCAATGATTTTGCTGCTAACCTTTGATGATTCAATTCAACCATATTCATTTTAATATTATTATTTATATATTATATATGAATTTTTTAGATAAACATCACATTTGTGTTTCTTTTTCGTTTGTTTTTATTGCTGATGTTAGAACTTTCTTCTGCGTTTTGGTCTTTATATTTGCCAAAAATAGAACCTTTTTTTTTATTAGCTCAGCCCAGGTGAGAAAAAGTAATGCAAAAGTAATGTAACGCATTACTTTCCATAAAAAAGTAACCAAGTAATGCAATTAGTTAATTTTTTAGGGAGTAAAGCAATATTAAAACACATGACTGTTAAAAGTCACTTTCCCCAACACTGATTTTAATAACAGTATATGGAACCCACAACAATTAAAAAACAAAAATTTGATCTAATAAAAACGACAAAAAACACACAACTAAATGAGAATGAAAACAAAAAATATAAAATTAAAATTGATTCAAAATGTTAACAAAATCCATAATAACATATCAAGGATACTGAACGCTGCATCAGTGAATGGGTGTTGGACTCACCGTCGGGCAGCCTGCTCTATGGTCTCTCCGGTCTGGACTTTCCCTCCAAACCCATTCCATTTGCCCGCTCCAAAGCCTCTTTTCTTCATGCCCAATAACACCCGGCCAGGCTGCACTACCAGCACCAGGGTCAGCAGTTTAGAGCTCAGCATCATCACCCTAGACATATAATACAACATGCTGTAATACAATGTCTTTTATATATATATATATATATATATATATATATATATATATATATATATATATATATATATATATATATAAATACCGGTATATAGATATATAATTATAATGTAATGTCTTTAGCAGTTGCTTCCAGCAATATAGATGATTTGTATTTTAAATAACATATTCCATTATACAGATCAAGCTCTTACTTTTATTTACACTACCACTGCAGCATTCAAAAGATGATTATAGCTTTTCTTAAGAGTCTATAAACAACAAGCGACAAATGATAATTCATAGGGTAGATGACTCATATAAATCAGTACAGTTGAGTTTCTTAAGTTAATCACTGTTGCTTCTATCAAAATAATTAGCTTACTTTGTCCAACGAAATCAGAATATAGACAAAAAAAAAAAACATATATTGAGACAGATGCGTGAATACGGATATATTAGAGGCTTAGTTTAATGAATCGTTCGAGCTTGTTTCCCGCGTGTTGCTCGCGATCACATGGAGGCATCAGATTGACAACAGTGAATTTGGTCATAATAGTGATTGACGTCCACATACAGGTTATTATTGTTCCAAATTCAACAGATGATTTACAGATCTGCAAAATATATAAACTCCGCCCACCTAAGGTTTGTAATCGAGAGTGCAACAGTGAAATGTTCTCGATCAGAAATCCGACTCGTTTCTGTGAATCGGTTCTTTCGAACATCATTAAACGAACTTAAAAACATGTAAACAAACCCCCTAAAATCAATTAATCGTTTTTTATGTTTTTGCAAATATATATCATATACGTTTTATTTAGTAACATTTCTGCTATTAAACTATTAAAGGCTATTATTTCTTCTCATTCCGTCACATGCAGTTCATTGAAAAGATCCGACTCAAACGAACGAGTCCTTCCCGAATCGGACATCGTAGAGTGCAACAGTCAAATATTCTCGACTGGAAAAAATATTAGACAGAAATAAATTCGAGGATACCCATCTAAAACCGTGAGATTATCTAATATATACATTAATACATTTAATCTAAATGATTAATACGTTATTCTAAAGACAAATAAACCACAATAATGTATAACTCAATGATTTGAAAGGTTCTGCACAAAGAAGGTCGCGCTTCTTTGACATCATGCGGACACCAGACGCACATGTGTCTTCTTGGTTTCATGTACTTCGTCATTAATTTCCTCTACAGGTCACTTCTTTGTAAATGATGTGGAAATGTATACAAAGGTCGTTCATTCACGTGTCAGCGGTCTATCTAAAGAAGACGCCTCTGCATATGAAGGGGAAAAGTGCTGCTGATCAGAGATGGCTGGTGCGGCAGCTCAATGACCCTTTCGTTAAAGCTGCTCACCTGCAGAATTACCGCTGTAGAAGCGCCTTTAAACTGATCGAGATAGATGATAAATACAGACTTCTGAAACCTGGTTTAAGTGTCATAGACTGTGGTGCTGCGCCTGGTGCGTGGAGTCAAGTTGCCGTCCAGAGAGTCAATTCAACAGCAGAAAGTAAGTGAGCTGCTGAATTGAATTGAAATGAATGAATCACTAATATAATATCACATCATATGATATCTATGCATGCCATCTTGTGGGGTAAAAAAACAAATATATTTTACAAATATATATTTCAAATAAATTCTCTTCTTTTGAACTTTTTATTTATAAAAAAAAAATCCTGAATGGTTTCAACAAAAATATTAAGCAGCACAAAACTGTTTTCAACATTGATAAATACAAACATGATGATTTTTGAGCATCAAATCAGAATGTTAGCACAGGTCAAAAGTTTGTTTTGTTAAAAAATACAGAAAAGAAAAACAGTAATATTGTGAAAGAGTATTAAAATTTTAAAAGATTCAAAGCTGATTTTTCATCAGCCATTACTCCAGTCTTCAGTGTCACATGATCCTTGAGAAATCATAATAATATGCTGATTTGATACTCAGTTTTGATCAATGTTGGAAACAGTTGTGCTGCTTAATATTTTTTTCCGAACCTGTGATATTTTTTTTCATGATTTATTGATGAATAAAAAGTTAAAAAGAACAGCATTTATTAAAAATAGAAATCTTTTCTAATTAGTCTTTACTATCACTTTTGATCAATTTACCACATCCTTGCTGAATAAAAGTATTAATTTCTTTCAAAAAAATAAAAAATACTTACCCCGAACGGTAGTGTATATTGTTACATTTTAAATAAATGCTGTTCTTTTTTGAAACTTTTTATTCATCAAAGAATCCTGAAAAAATTTGTTATAAAAAATATTAAGCACCACAACTGTTTCCAACATTGATAATAAATCATCATATTAGAATGATTTCTGAAGGATCATCATGTGACACTGAAGACTGGAGTAATGATGTTAAAAAATATCAGTTTTGCCAAATAGAAAACAGTGGTAATAATATTTCTCAATATAACTGTTGATACTGCATTTTAATCAAATAAAAGCAGCCTAGGTAAGCATAAAAAATAATTATTTCAAAAAAGTCGTACCAAGCTCAAACGTTTGGACAATAGTGTATAGTACATGGGTAAAAAAATAAAAGGTCAAATATAGTTCTAAAATTCGTTTTAAGGATAAAAGATTAGTGCAGTCCACACCACAACAATACCGATAACAACACAGAAACAATATTGTTGGAATCACTTTCAGAACGTTTTTCCATCAATCCATGCTGCATTTCATGGATCCGCTGGTGTGGATGTAAATATAGTTATCTTTATAGCTATCGTTCTCTATGTGAACAGGCCTTTATTCAATGTTTATTCAATCATTTTTTCAAAGCTGATATAAACACCATACCTTTGTTCATTCCAGGTGCAGATCTTCCAAAAGGAAGCGTAATAGGAATAGACATATTACGCATCGCCCCTTTGGATGGAGCTCAGTTTCTGTCCAATCACGACGTCACTGCTCCTTCAAGTCACACGGCGCTGGAGAGGCTCCTCCCTGAAGCTCGAGCAGATGTCATCCTCAGTGACATGGCCCCCAATGCCAGTGGGCTCAGGGAACTGGATCATGAAAGACTGGTCACCATGTGTCTATCAGCGCTGGACTTGGCTGACAAGGTTTTGCGTCCCGGGGGCTCTTTGATTTGTAAATACTGGGATGGAGCTCTGGCCAATAAGCTCCAGCAGAGACTTTCCTCTATGTTTCAAGATGTAAGAACCGTAAAGCCAAGAGCAAGCAGGAAGGAGTCCGCAGAGCTTTTCTTTCTGGCGAGGATGTTTAAAATGAAATAGGATGAAGTCTTTTTCACGCAAATCCAATTTTAATATATGAAATATAAATAAATATATGTTTAATAAAAGAAAGTAGTTGGGTTTGTATTGCTTACCTGCAACCTGATCAGTGCATTAAAAACTAGAAACCTAACGCGTATCCTGAACATTAAAAAATGCTATAGTAGAATAAATATGAAGTCAGATTTGCATATGATTTTCAGTTTATCAGTAAGGCCTAGCAGCGTTAAAGACATGGTTGGCATGCACCTAAAATGCGTTTTAGTGAGGAATTTCAGATTTATAGTATATTTTACACTATAAGAGTGTATAGTTTCCTCCTATTAGTAAATGATGTCCTTACGAAAGCACATACAACATTTAGTATTTGATGGATTAGATCAGTGGTTCTCAAATGGCCGTCCGTGAAGCATTTGTGTAAAGTTGTGTAAAAACTAAACTAAATAAAACCATTAGAATTGACTAAAAGTGACTAAAATTAAAAAGTTGCTCAACAAGCTGCCCGTGTATTTTACCTTAAGACTTTTACTCAAGTTGTATTGGAATTGGTGACTTGTAACTTGTAATGAAGTCATTTTCGCTGTAAGGTATCTGCACTTTTACTCTCAAGTATTGTTTTCAGGTACTTTTCTTTCTTTACACCTCTGGGTACTCCACAATTTTTGTTTTACTCTTGAATTTGTTCTCCACCTAACACTGGATTGAACAATATTCAGTTGGCCTGAAGATGGTGCTCTTGAGTTGCCAGTACGAAAGCAGCAGAATAATAGCTGTACACACTCTCACACACACCCCAGCGGTTTGAAGAAGAGGTGGCGTGGATCGGCTGTTATTGGAACCCTGTTTTCCCCGACCGTTTGGGAGTCGAGTGCTCAGGAGTTAAAAATCCCGCATTGTCATTTGCATTTTTAGCAAATTCTTGAAGTGTGGCTTATTTGACAACACTTTAATCTTGTGTTTCCCTAACCGGAAAGCTAAATTGTTTGCGTAATACCGAAAAACCGTTTTTCCAGTTGCATAGAAAGATGCAATCATTCTCTCATTATAAGCGAGGAGCTGCAGAGAGGATGGATAAGTGTCTTATAGACAGTATGACTAATGAGAATCCTTTGTCCCTGTAGCAGTGCAGTCTCACAGACATTAGCCTGACACATTATCATCTCTCTTTCTACAGTCCAGCTGTGAATGACATCCAGCTTGTGCTTCTTACGTGGAGAGTTTAGACCTAACATTTGTTCAAATATGAAATAGAAATGTTGGATATAATAAAAGGGGTTTTAATGATTCATAGAGGTTGGAGCAGAGTATATTCAACACTAAAGCCTCATGGAGTTGGGGGAGTTTTATGGTTATACATTCCTTGCCTATAATGCTCAACTCCTCAAACTTTAAGTAGCTCAAACTGAATGCTGCATGCTTGATTTGAAAGCACCAGAAAAAGAATGTCAGGTCCGACTCTGGATTGCTCTAATCTCAAGCTCAGGGAATCTTCAGCTGAGAGACTCAAACATAGCCTAAATGAATTCTGCCGGCAGCTCTGGCGCTTTCATATTCGACTGAGCTGCAGCGTGTACCATACAGTATGGAAATTCTTGCAACCTCGCTCTTTAATCTGAGCGTCTGTGTCAGCAATATGTTTAATGTGTGCCGCTTCGGTCAATTTGAATGCTGTGGTTTTTGATCATCGCTCTGACGTATCAAAAACGTATGCGTTCGGGGGACAATCCACCCCTGCGTCAGTGACATGTCAAAAGAGCCTGGAGAATTCATTATAGAAGATTAAGGAATTTATTTGAGAGCTTAGTTTTATACGCCTCTTAACGGTTGTAAAAGTGGAGACTATAATGTCTGCAGGGGTTCAGCAACACTGAGTGATATGGAAATACGAGTGATCGTGCTAAAATTATAATAGCTTTTTTTGGGGGCGGTTATCATCTTGATTTTAAAAGTTTTTTTCTTTTTATTTCTTTATGGTTCATTGCTGTTAACTCACATCCTTCAGGTTTCTTGGAACATCTCAAATACCTACTCTCAGAGGTCGAAGTTCAGGCACTGTAATAATTTGCTGTCTATTATTGTGACAGACTTGAGACAAAATCTTTATATTAGGATTTGTGCTCATTCAGAATTATGTGAAAGCTTTCTACATTCATGAATTTGAATTGAATTTGTTTGTAGGTGGTGAAAACAATGCAAAGCTGAAATTCAAATATAAATGTAAGATATTAGAATTAAAGTTCTAAATGAAAATAATACAAAGTACTTTTGAACACATTATTAAACGGATAGCATGTGGTACTTTCAGTAACATAATTTTCCATTTATGTTTCATTATACTTAATCAAGGATTTTCATTTTGTGGAGCATGGTAGAGGAACACTTAATTTCCTACAATGAATCATCTCAGCAATGCCCATTGAAGCCTAAGGAGTTTGCTCTGCCTTTACAAGCGCAAATGTGTTGACAATTTTGCATATTATTTTTTTCTTATTTGCATTCCAGAGCTGATATAATATATATTATATCTAGGATCGCTTGCAAGTAACAAATTCTAAAAGCATGAAGGCCTTGGGCCGGTTGCATAAACTGCTAAAACTAGTCTTACAAGTTAGTCATCAAATTTTTCTTTAAGACTGGACATACCTTTTTTAAGTCAGGTACATAAAAACCTAGATTGGTCTAATTTGATCCCCTAAAGTAAGACTGATTACCCCTAACTAACTGCTAGTTGTCTGTACTACACTGAAAACCCTAATAAGTTGATTGAACTCAATTGATTTGAGTAAACTCGTTCCCTCAATTTAATTGAGTAATGGGGTCTCCCAAAACGTGTATATTTAAGTGTACTTAACTTGGTGCTTATGTAGACTGTAACACTGAAGCAGTGTTAAAGTTAATGAGATAATTAAGTGATTAATTGAGTGATGATTGAGCATTATTGAAGACACCTGATGTTAACAAGCAGAATCACTGAAGGACAAAACCATAATTTTTAAGTCACCGTTGTGGAGATCAGTGTTTGCTTTAGTTGGGCTCTTGACCCTTAACTCATCAACTTCATATTTTGTTTGATGACTGTAACTCAGTTGTAATCAGATGAACAAATAGAAAAGGTCATCTGATGGTGGTGATTGTGTTTTAACATAATCATTATTTCATAATGAATGGAATTTAATCTTTGAAGTCATATAAAGCTGAATCATGTTCACCTGCACTGTTTATATTTTATATAATATTTGTAACATTTAAATTTTAATCAAAATATTCTCTTTTAAGGTTGTTATAATAAAAACTATGTAGATCATATTATTTTAGACACATAGAGATCAAGAATCAGCCTCTGAATCTCAACAATGGTGACATAAAGCATATTGCAGTGCATTCTGGGTGCCACCAATCAAAACTCATTCATGGCTCCCATCATGCATTGCTGCATGAATAAATAATGAGCTTATGTTCAGAGGTTATCTGTTTATCACCATTGCTGAGATTCATACGCTAAATCTTGATGTCTGTGTGTCTAAAAATAATATACAGTAATTTGTATAAGAACAACTTCAAAGAAATTGTTTGCATTATGATGTAATCGTTGAAAATGTAATGCTGTACAAGGACAGTGTTGCTATAATTAATAACATAAATCTAATTCAGAAATTGGGCTTTAAATGAGTTTAGTTTAGGATTCAGGTCAAAAGATGAAATAATGTGAAATAATGTGAAATAATGATTATGTTAAAACACAATCACCACCATCAGATCACCTTTTCTATTTGTTCATCTGGCTGTTATAACCGGGTTACAGCAGTCAAACAAAATATAAAGTTAATGATCAAAGGGTCAAGAGCCCAACTAAACCAAACACTTATCACCATAACGGTGACTTAAAAATGATGGTTTTCTCCTTCAAAGATTCTGCTTGTTAACATCAGGTAACTTCAATAATGCTCAATCATCACTCAATTATTCACTTAATTATCTCATTAACTTTAACACTGCTTCAGTGTTACTTATAACACTCTTGAGTGTGGACTGATATAAACGCTGAGCAGTGTTAATTTAACACTGGGGATTTTGCTGTGCACTTAAATATACAAGTACACTTGAAATCAACACTAAGTTAAGTTAACTTTATTGTTTAAGTACATTAAATAATCGTCAAGTTTGGTGAACTAAACAATTTAAGTCAAGTCTACATAAGCACCAAGTTAAGTACACTTAAATATGCACGTTTTGGGAGACCCCATTACTCAATTAAATTGAGGGAACGAGTTTACTCAAATCAATTGAGTTCAATCAACTTATTAGTGTTTTCAGTGTTAACTTTCAGAACTTGTACAAATGACGCTCAATCATCACTCAATTAATCACTTAATTATCTCATTAACTTTAACACTGGTTCAGTGTTACTTAACACTCTTGAGTGTGGACTCATATAAACACTGAACAGTGTAAATTAAACACTGGAGATGTACTGTATTACAAAAACACTTGGGTATTAAAGTTTATTTATCAAGTTTAAAGTATCAGATTTAAAAATAAAAATCTGTTTATTTCCATTACGATCAATAATTGTAATGAAAGCCATTTGTTTTCTGGTAAAATAAGAATGACACATTGCACTTGAAGAAAGCATGTATGAATGTATTCATTTCACAGTCAAGAAAACAACATTTGTGAAAATGACCTTTAGTAAGGATTAATCAGGATTTTGAGCTCACAGCACTTGAAATCTTAAGTTTATGTATTTTGAAGGTAAATAAGTTATTTGAACTTATATTTTTGAGTGACAGGGCCAAAATGCTAAATTTAAAGTAATGTTTAGTCAAGTACACTTGATTGTTTAAGTAAAGACAACATTAGGGTTTACAGTGTAGTTCTTAAAGGCACAGTCTTCACATAATGGCAATGTTCATGCAACTGGCCCCTGCATCTCCAATAGCCTACAATGTAATTTTAGACAAAACCATTATGCTCTGGGTATAGAAAGCTCCCTTCCACAGTTGACAAATTGACCCCATTTACTTTATTATTACACCTTTCATTAGTTTCATTAGTCTTCTTAATCTTTCACCACATTGTAATAACTTGCTCAACTTTCACTTCTTGCAGCTAGGGATGTGCAGCCTATTAGTTCATGTTAACTGATAGCCATATAGTCTGTTGTTTTTAATGCAGCCTTTCTAAAATATTAGCATTACATTTCATGTTACATTTTTTTTAATTTGTATGGTGAAATAACAGATTTCTCTCTGGTGACTTAACAGATTTCTCTCTGGTGACTTATGCTGGACTTCTCTGATCATTTAGTCCTCTTAAACTAAATGACTATGGCCTGGTTTCACAGACAGGGCTTAGATTAATTCAGGATTAGACCTTAGTTCAATTAGGACATTTAAGTTGATTTTATAAATGTAGAAAAAAAACCATTATTGGTGTGCATCTTGAGACAAAACAATGGCACTGACATA